ACGGCACGATACTGATCGGACGGAACGAGCGCCGATCCGATCCGATCTCGATCGTCCTTAGTTCATGGCCCGTCAAAAGATGACATAAGGTTGCCGCCATCGCCAGCCCCCAGCTCAACGTCGCCCTCGACGCTACCACCACCATAGACGCTCAACAGCCCCAGCACCAGCACCTTGCCCCTATGACCGTCGACCTCGACGGTCAGCAACAGCAACAACAACAGCAGCAACAGCTACCACAGGCCAACCCGCACTTTGCCATGCCGGCTCCAGTGGAGCACGGACCACCGATGGCCTCTGGCTTCGCCGCGCATTCTCCGCCCATGCACGCGAGCCCTCACGCGTCGTCGTCAACGTACGGGCAGCATCAGGGCAACATCGTGCAGCCCTCTATGTTCCAGGGGAACATGAGCGCGACGATGGGCATGCCGATGGGCCTCGATCCGAGGTACCAGCTGACACCGTCGTACATGGGCTACGCGCCGCAAACGGCGCACGCGGGCCCCATCCAACCATTCGTCCCTCCAGCGCCGACCTCCATATCCATGCCCCCGGGGATGCCGCCACTGCTGATGTCGAGGCCGACATTGCAGTGGATCGTCCTGAGCGACAACATGGCACCATTGGTGCACCAAGAAGGATGCCCGGTCTGTACGACCTGGGCGCGCCACATACAGGACGCCGCAAGGACGGACACGTCCTTCGTGGAAGCCAATGGAACAGCGCGTGCCGCCCTTCAGGAGCGGCTCTACGACCACTTCCGCCGATGGCAGGGTTCGGAAGGGGGAGGGACGCCGGCCGAACTCCAATAGGAGATCGAGCGGCTGAAGAAGGAGAACGAGCTCCTCTGCCGCGAGTCAGAGGATCGGGGTCGTGAGATTGACGACCTGGAGGCCCGGGTGAATGAAGCCTGGGAAGCCAGTGAACACCACGAGGATAGGGCGAGGCGACTGGAAGACGAGTTGCGTCGTCATCGACGCTCTCGATCCCTGTCCCCGGGACCTCGGCGTCGAGATCGCTCACCTCCACCACGGCCCGCACCACCTCGTCCTCCTCCGCACCAGCAATTTCCGAACCGGCCCTCCCCGCTTCCGTACGGGGACCGCTACTACGCCCCCCCGCGAGGTGAGCCGTCGCGCCCAGGGCCATCGGGCATGCCGCGATCCACGTCTCAAGCGGTTCCATCAAACCTGCTTGGGAACACGATGTCATCGTCGTCGCTCGCACCTCCCTTTCCGTCAAGCGACTTCCCGCAAGGCTCGTCCTCAAGCTCGCGACGCCTCGGCCCCGAGGCGGCGTTCGACTCCGAGATGGAGGACGACGACGTCGACAGCGAGTCCGAGGGCTACAACGTCAAGAAGGGCAAGCAGCGCGTGTTCAATAATGCGAACCGCGCCGTCCTGCATCGGACCCGGGAGCGGCTGATCAGCCAAGCGACGGGGACCACACCTCGACAACCGGCACCCCCGCCTCCTGCGCCGACGCTTCCTGCGCTGGGCCCGAGTGCCGGACTGGACCATCCGCGTGTACCAGGAGGTGTGCGCCAGCCCCACATGTCTGTGTGGCCGGAGGCGACGCTGGTCCAGGCAGCTGATGCCTGGTCGGACTACGTCCCTCTGAACCATCACCAGTACTGGGAGTTGGTGCGGTCGGCCAGGGCTCAAGGAGGTGGCGCGTACAACCATGTACACGACCTCCTTCGTCAATATGACGCGAACGGAGCCCTGGGCGCGTTCAACTACCTCCACCAGCTCAAGATGAGCTGGTCGGACCCGCACCAGGCGGAGACACGATCGCAAGCCCGTCGCGCTCGCGACTTCGGGAGAGAAGCGGTTCATTCGAACCCCTCTCGCATCGAGAAGAACCCGGGCATGCGGAACCTGAGCCGGACGGACCCGCCGGAGAGGTGGTTGGAGTACTAGCACCAGTACCCCGACACCCTGCCGGTGTACCTCCCCATTCCCTCTCAGCTGGGAAGACCAACCCGGGATCACACCCGGGGCCACATCCTCCTGCGCGCTCTCATCCCCAAGCTCAAGGGCGCCCAGCAGTCGGCCGAGCGCGCGCGGTTCCTGGAGGTCACTGCCCAACTCTTCTCGATCCCCGGCCTCTATCGACGAATCGTTGACGAGGGCCACTACCCCGAAGGTACGGTGGAGCGACTGCTCCCCTACCCGGGCCAGGTTACCAACATGTCGATTTTCAACTTGGCGGCTTGGTACGCCCATTGCGGGCTCAGCGCGGCCTCCATTGCGCTTATGCAGCCAATGGCGGTACGCATGCGCCAGTACTACGAGCGCCGCAACCCCAACTCAGCGGAGGCCTTCCTCCAATGGCCGCGCACCGTGGCCGAAGTCACAGCTGTGCCCGTGCTCGCGGAACTCGCGTTGCAAGTCGCGGCACTGCAGGAAAACCCAGATGCGACCACTGGTCACGCGACCGCGCCTCTCCCCCTCGTAATCGAGGGCGTCGACGTCGACGAAACCATGGGAGAAGCGCATGGGATTGGCGAGGGCCAGGCTGATGAGCCGGGGCCCAGTGGTACAGTACTGTCGACCGACGCCCCGGGCCCGTCACCTCCCTCAGCCTGAGCACGCTGACCACCTCCGTACGTGTGGGGCCGGGTGTCTCACCCTCATCGTGTTGCGTCGCCCTGCCGGCACGCCGCCTCCCGCTCAACCGCATCGTCCACCCGCAATTTCGAATCACGCCCGCCGCATCAACATTTCTCTCTCGCATCATCATCGCACGTCCTATCGGACGCTTATGCTTTTCCCTTCTCTCATATGGACATGGCTATTCCATGCACTCCCTATTCCTCATTGGTATCATATGAGAACCTGGCACAGGTTCTGAAGGGGGAGAATGTAACGGATCGTTATTATCTTATCTTATCTACGTAGTTAATCTACATCTTGTATCTACATCTGGATCGTCATGGTGATCGGCGCTGATCCATCTGGATCCGCGCGACGTGGCGAAGGCTTCTCAGCCTTTCACCACGTCCACCATAGTATACGCCCTCTCAATCTAGAGATTGGTTCAGTGTACTTTGGACTTATGTGAATCAGGCGACACCTGTAAACGTTACAGTACTACATTGGACAAGGAATGGCCGAAGAAATCGAAAAGAAGCTGGATGTGAGGTCGTAGCTTGAACCGGAAGCTCACAGTCAAGAAACATTGTGTGATATGTGATCAGGAGTTCTGACTAGAACATGCCAGAACTGCGTAGTTAGGGTTATAATTAGAATAGGCTCTAAGGCTCAGAGTATATGTATACAGTGGTACCACAGTCGAAGAAGTGAACTCACATTGCAGCACACTAAGATCAGGCATGCAACAGAAGTGGCTAAATCCAACTCAAGCCCACCTGTCTAAGAAGGCTTTGGTGCTCACACGGCCAAGCGAGACCATACCGCTCCGCCATTGGTTACAGAAGAAGCGTTGGAAACAGCTAGGCCTTTGGGGGCGGAAAAGAGCCATCAAAGGTGAACCAACTCCAATCTAGCAGCTTCTCCGGCCAATGAACACCTCGGATTGGACCATCAAGGGTCAGAAAAGTAGTCAGGTGAAAAGAGCTAATTTTATAGGACCTAATGCACTTCGAATGAAGAGAAAAGGTGAAGAATTGACTGAGATACAGAGGAAGAAGGGTTATAAGGGGCAGAAAATGGGAAGGGAACACTAGTATAGGGTTCCAAACCAGGAGGAATGCGGCCTGGATTGCCCTAGGATGATCCAGAATTTTCTGCGCATTTTTCGGAATTTATTGGAGCTTAGAAGGTCAAGACAGCCCTAGGAATGGAGACCATGGAAAAACTTAGTCATCACATCAGACATGTGATTGGCTGGGGACCAGAAAGAATGATGGGAGTCAAAGGACAGACAATAACTCCCCAGAAAGGCAGTGTAGAAAACAATAAAGACTCGGAGTAAATGGATAGATTAATTCACCCAGAGTACCGGAAATGCGGAGTTGATAAGGTCAGCAGAGGTCATGTGACCCCAGAACTTCTATCCCACAATGGAGGAAGATGGTCTACTTAGCAAGGCAACAGGATATTCAGGAGCATTGGCACAGTTGAACAGGCAAGATCTTGGTGGTAGAATAAGGTATATAAGTGAGAGAGGGTACAGCAGAAGGTGTTAAGTACAGACTGTTAGCGGCAGTGGTGTGATCTGGTCGATGATGGCGAATTGGGTGCAGATAGCGAGTGCAGAGAGCAAATGATAGAGTTAAGGAAGAGCGAGAGAGAGAGGCATAGACACATAGACAAGAGGTTTAGGGCACCAAACTGGCACTCAGGGCTCTCTAGGCCCAGATAGAACAAAGCCTCACCCAGGCCTCAAACACAAATCGAAGAGGCTCATCGCCATATGGACTAGGAATTGTACAGTAATGTGGCTACAGCGTCGTGCTGCTAATGTTTGTCCATGTTTGTCCCTCTGACACAATTAGGCGCCAACACTAACACAGACAGTCATGCCTGGCAGTAGACCCACCTCTCCACTGACATACTTCCTACGCCGGAGCCCACTTACTCGTTTCGACTTCATCCGGGACTACTATTCTCAGACGATGGGTCACGTGAGCCTTATCCAGGAATCCGGCCCCTTTATCACTGCACAGAATACCTACATTCTTCCAAGGCTTCTATCACCATGGGACTTCTCCAGCTCGGTCGACACCTACCTTTTCGAGCGGGTTTGCCTCAATCTAGGTGGTCAGATCCACATGGGGACAGCTTACATGATGTTCGAAGAGGGTGCCCCTTCATTGCCCCCTCTGATAGGACCTCCTGCCCCACCGGCCAACTCTCCCCCTATGGCACCAGTCATACAGCCTTTGGAACCCAGGGACCCGCCTCCCTGTCGTCCGACTCCGATGCCCTTGTTTATTGGAAGCGTGGGATTTTCAGACCCGGAGCCACCTCTGCTGCCCCGCATGCGCCCAGTTCCCACTCCGGGTGAGTCATATCCTAAAAAAGAAGTCCTATCATTAGCTATCATCCGGTTGCTAAGAAGCCTTGGTACAGTCAAAACACCCCAGCTTAAGGTACAAGAGGTTCAGAGGTGGACTGCGCATGCAAAATCCAAAGAAGAACCCAGTCCGGAGAACCAAGAAGAGGCTGCCTCAGCTGAAGACACGCCCATGGAGCTCAAGTATCCCTTGAGCCCGGAGCCCGAGCCTGAGCCTGAGCCCGTCACTGACGAGGCTACCAAGGAGGCTCCGAGTGCCGAAGAAGAAGCCGAAGGCCTGCAGGCCTGCTACAACGTCCAGAGCCCCGGAAGAGCTATTGTGAGAGCCCCAGTGCGTGCGCTGTACAGTACGTACAGACACCGCCACTGATCCTTCCGACAGTCCTGCGCCTGCACAAGAAACATGCCCGCGCGAGCGTCAAGGACACGTTTGACCACCCAAAGCTAGCGCTACAGGTGGCCGAGCACGTCGGGCTCGAGAACATCTTGCTCGTCCCAGCCCGCTTGTGGACCAAGGACGAGCGTCGCTTCATGCGACTCGTAATCAAGTTGATCTGCCATGCCTTGAGCGGAAAGGTGGGGTATGGTGAGGTTGTGCCGATGTATGGCCCAGGTGCAGTTGTAGGAGGTGGGAGCGACACTGAGTAGAGCGAAATGGGGCGGACGGAAAGAATCCGCTAATGAATACGGACAGAAACAACCTAAAAAAGAAGTTAAAAGAATCCTGTAGTAATAGTGTGTCAGTATCAAGTACGAATCAGACAGAAAAAGTTGGGAAAAAATTCCTGGTTAGGGAAGGCACAAGTAAAAACGTCCAGGACAAAAGCCCCGTTCACAAAGTCACCCGAACGAACCCCAACCTGGTACGGACATGCAACTCCACACGAGCAAGAACCCGAAGGTTCTAGCAGGTGCGAGAGGCATCGCGCAAGAAGGTACCCAAGCCATCGAGGCTCGAGCACCATGCAAAGAAGGTCCTAGAAGAGTGGAAAGATCAGTATATATGGCAGATGCTTGGCTATAGAGGAAGGGAAGAGGAATCAGTAAGAGACAGCCCACGATGGGAGGACCATTGCCCAGCAGGGTCTCGCGAGCGATAAGCTCATTTGCGAGAGGTTACCGCATGGACCCCCATAGTGACCCCCGACCGAGAAGGCCGCAATCGGGGCGGGGTGAGTACGAGATGAAACACGAAAGAGAAAGGGACGGGGATCAAGAATGGCTCCCCACCTCGCAAGGAGAGTATCGACGTGGACGACATCACAATCGACGCGACCGCTGCAGCCACTAGAGACGAGGCACGCGCCACGGTCCATACTGGGGAAAGGAAACCCAGTACGGCCACTCACAGCTCGCCGAACTCCTCCGACAAGAGCTCACGACGCTGTGGGATGAGAGAAGGACTCACCAGGAAGGGACAAGTACGGTCTCCTTGGGATCCGCGTACTCGTCCCACCATGCCTACAGAGCTCCGAGCACCTACAACACGGCTGTGTGTGTGCCCACAACTGATCTTGAGGGGACAAGAGGAGTGTGCGGAGAGATTGAGGGGAACGAGGACCGTGACCAGGCGAGAGGCGCCCCAAAAGAGATGACGGATGACGACGCCAGTGCGCTCAGCCATGTGAGCACCTGCACGGTGTGAGCAGATAGTGAGGAAGTGATGCCACAAATGGGGCCATAGGACGACGAGGCGATGGAGGCCGATGGGTGAGAGCAACGTCGATGGACGACGCTGAGTAGTCGGAGGTTGGCTGAGTATCCAAGACGACAAATCAATGTGGTACTGACGGGGCGTCCGAAGATGTGTAAGTGAGAGCATTGAGCTTCGTGCTCGATGCTCAAGCATCTCTGTATGCTATATGGTGAGTCGGGAGGTGCTCACGTTAGCTGGGGTGCGGTCAGTTGGCTTTCGCCCCTGTTACGACTGACTGTCGAGCGAGTAAGTGGAGACGAGCGAGGCAGGCAGGAGCATCGACGAGCTCTGATCGCAGTGAGACTGGAGCGGAGCTCAACAGGCAGGACTGGAGACAAGTTGTGTATTGAGCGAAGTATCTACAGAGCGAAATACACGATGGCTTACCTGGAGACAAGAGGTCGAAACTAGAGTCTCCAGGTAGCAAGGGATCCAGCTATATACAGGGAACGAACAATGGGCACTAGAGAACAATAGTGTCACCATGGGTACGAAGTACAAGGGGTGTAGGACAATAGCGGACATGGAGACAAAGGGAGCTATTGTTCATGTGCGGAAAAAGGGAAACCATAGCGAGTAGTGAACAATAAGGAAATGTACGAGGCAATGGTCCGAATCGAAAAGGAAACGTAGCGCCGTGAGGGCGGTTTGTGACAGCCCCCTTCCACGTGCTCCAGCCAACTCAACACCCTTCGCCTGCTCAGCAATCGGCATTCAACTGTCCTTGACCTCGCAATGCCTACGCCTACAGTCACAAAAGGGGGGGTCCAAAAATTAAATAGAAACGACCAAGGCTGCGGAACTAATGTCCGCAACCGCCCTGGTTCATTTGCAGCAGCGCTGCATGTGCACGCACCCCCCATATGTATGTAGAAAGCAATAAAGTATCTGTGTGAGCCATAAACATGTGAGTAGTGCGCGGGGGAGACAAGTCTTGAGGAAGGAAACCGGGGTGTGCGAGGAAATGCGAGAATGGGGACGACAGCGGGCAACGTACCTGAACGAACCCCATGTCACCCATCCTAAGCACCTCTTAGGTCCTCCCAGTCCCCAACAACCCACAGCAATCAATATTCGCCCCATCCTACCGCAAACAAGTAAGGTGATAAAGTTTTTGAGGGGCTTGGGGGCGCAACGTGAGATTGTGAGGGCCGCCGACGTTGGATAAGGTGGCTGGCTGGGCTGTAAATTTGTATACAAGTAGTGTAGGGGCACCTCTTGTGAAGTACGGCACCGATAGGCAGGAGGGAGGACTGTAGGAAGAAGGCTGGAGGAAGGTCAGGAGCACAACAACGCCAGAGACCGGTAGGCGCCCGTATTACATACAGGCATGCCTATCAGCCTCTGCGTGTCGTGCCAGTAAGTGAAAGAGGGGGAAGTCAACAGGAGAGGAGAGCCAGGAAATGGAGCTGTAGCAAAACATGTGAGAGAGAGAAAGAGAGCGGGAGAGCCGACCATGAGAACGATGCAACGTCTGTTGCGATGGTGACAATGCGTCCAGCATGCAAAGAAGAGAGCGGAAGTTGACCCTTAGCATCGAAAGGGGGGCTCTTCAGGCCCAGAGAGACCGTCGCAACACATTCAAGGAGGAGTCTGCAAGAAGAGGGGAGGATAGAACCTGCTTATGGACGCCAGGGATGACCTTGTGTTGGAATCGGTGCTGTAGCGCCGTCGATTGTAATCGCACCAAGTCCCGCATCGCGCTATACATAGTTCGCGCTGTCCGCTATCTACGGTAATTTTCGTATAGTCACAACTCTCTTTCACATAGAGATATCGCATTTCTTTCACTAGTAGTCTCCATTTCTGTAGATCTGACTGCACTCTAGAATAGTGTCTACCTTACGCACTTCTGGTCCGTTTGGCGCCATTCCAGCGCCACATAGTGTATGGTCGTGTTAGCTAGTTCCCACGCGCTCTGTGCGCCGTCATCTGCGCCTGAGTCGACTCTGTGGTCCTCAAGACTTACAGAGCTCGACTTAGGCCATTGTGACCCCTCTGAGGCCCACTGCAGCTAACACCTTGCTGATGCCAGCCTTGACGCCGGTCTGTTCTAGGAGTTCTGCGACGGTTGTGCCAGCCTTTCCAAGGATGACGCCGGCATTCTTGCTGCCCACAAGCGTATGAAGAGTGAGACTGTTGTCAGTGTTGGTCGGAGAGAGAGAACGGGACTGAGGAAAAGAGTGAGGTTAGCGTCCGCGATAAGGGACCAGCACTATAAGGATGGTGTTCCCAAGCGTGGCTGGGAGGCCGTGTGGCATTGGATCCGCGTCGTCTTGGTCCCCAGACATCAAGACAAGAGTTTTTTTGAGTTAAGCAGCAGCAAGAGAGCAGACCAGAGTTCTAGGGCACAGGCAGGAGGACAGGAAGGGAGGGACGAGTGATGCACCTCCTTGGGACAAGATAGACGCCCAATCTTATCTCCATCAGATAAGATAGGATCAGCATGGCCGGTCCTTTCCAAGCTGTGCACGTGTCCCAATCACGCATGCGTCCACCAATAACCTTTTTACAGGGCTGCAAGTGTTCCGGAAGCCATACACAACTATATTAGAAGCAATTTGGGGTATTTTACTGTACATAAGCACATGTTGGCACGCAATATATCCTTTAAAGACTTAACTACGTGTCCATAAGCGATATCTGGTCTGTTTGCATCTATAACGGCCCCGTAAGGGAGACAATGCACCTGTAAAATAATGTCGAGCAAGTCAAGGACTCTACGCAGGAATTTCGGGTGCATGCGAGAACTTTCTAGAACCTACTAGAAGTAACGGAAAAGATCTAGAGCCAGAACAGTATATATAAGACCTGCAAGCTAGGCATGAATGATCCAAGAGTCATGAAGAACCCTAGTCTGGAGGCAAAGATTTCCAAGATTGAATTTGCGGAAAAGCAGAGAAGAGTGCAGGTAGCAGTGCATATAAGCAAACAGCAAAAGTAAAAATCAGGCTCCCGTAAAGCAGTGATCCGACATATGATTCAGCGTGCAAAATGGAAAACAGCCCAGAGAGCACGGGAAAGGCGGAGGTCAATGTTTGGTACTAAGACTAGGTGTGGAGCCTTGCTTCACCCTCCGCCAGATGTAGAGGTGATACATGACTAGAAGTAGTTTGATATATGGACAATAAAGACTGTAGACTGCTATCGCGATGGTGATGCACCGTCATAGCATGTGCTGACAATCTACCGGAAAGACCAGAAGTTGTAACGGTTCACCCCATGACAGTGTCGACCATAATGATAGCCGTATACAGCCTGTGACAATGCCACTAGCAGGAGAAATCGGACAGTACCCAAGGAGCTATCAAACAAGAGCAACTGTCGGAACTGTAGGATGATTGCATAAGCCGAAATGACAAACGAAGGCAAGGAGCCATAGATGATTGCATACCACTACCATTGCAGTCATCCATCGCAATGGCAATGGCTGATGACTGACTAAAAGTCTAGTAGCCATAGCAGCCACCGCCTTTGCAATGAAGAAAACAACGATAGTGGCAGGCAGCCGGTAGGCATTGGGAGAAATAAGGAACATCAAAATGCCTAGAGGGCGGAGGGTGTATTTATATGGTACCGCCCTCGCTAAGACGTAAAACTGGCCACATGATTCGGCACTGCAAACCCATCATTGGAACACTACACCAGCAACAAACAAGTGTGCAACACAACACATTCTCAACCAACACACCAGTCATCACCAACAACCAAGAATACTAAGCACCACGTGCACTACCCAAGCAAGCGCCTGCCAATGATCACAAACCGAGAACCAACCATTACCAATCAGATGCATAGTCAGTAGGATTACATGTTTGAGGTGTACTATGAGGAAGACGAAGCAATTGTGGATATAGACTGGGGAAGCGACAATAAAGGAGAACAGAGGCTATTAGAAGCTCATGTATTTTCGGGATGGTATGAGCCAGTAGCTCAGCAAGTGAAGCCGATCCCAGGAGTCTTTCCGGAAGGAGCACAAGTAGTCTGGCAGATACCGGAGGATCCATTGCTCACACTACCGTATCTATCTCCGCATCCGCTAGAGTTTGTGCCAACTAGAAAGTTAATGAAAGAGCAATTGGAAGCAATGAAGATAAATGAAGGGGGATTTCTGTGGCCAGAAGAGGAGAGACTATTCCAGCACATATTCTGCCTGAACGAAGGTGTACTCGCGTTTGAGGAGTCAGACAGAGGAACATTCCACAAGGACTACTTCTCACCATACATTATACCAACAGTTCCGCATGTGCCATGGGTGGAGAAGAACATTCCGGTTCCACCAGGTATTAGAGATGAAGTAATCAAGCTCCTGTAGGAAAAGCTAGAAGCCGGAGTATACGAGTGATGTCAGTCATCATACCGCTCAAGATGGTTTTGTGTCCTAAAGAAGAATGGAAAGCTACAGATCGTGCATGACCTACAGAAATTGAATGCAGTTACCATTCGGAAGGTAGGGCTTCCTCCGGTACTAGATGACTTTGTAGAACCTTTTGCAGGAAGACAATGTTATACAGTGTTAGATCTGTTTTGGGCATTTGTTGGACGTAGACTTCACCCAATCAGTCGTGATATGACAGCATTTCACTCGCCACTAGGACTGTTGCGACTAACATCAATGCCGATGGGTTTCACAAATTCGCCAGCTGAGTTTCAGGCATGCATGACATTTATATTGCAAGATGAGATCCCACACATAGCTAACGTGTTCATCAATGACTTACCAATCAGAGGACCGCAGATATGCTACCCAGATGTGGAAGGAAATCCTGAAGTAGTAAAGGAGAATCTAGGTATCAGACGGTTCATATGGGAGCATGCACAGAATGTGCACCGAATACTACATCAAGTTGGTCGTGCAGAAATTAAAATATCAGGACTAAAAGCACAAGTCTGTCAACCAAATGTGGTCATAGTCGGACAAAAGTGCACCCCCGAAGAAGAGTACCAGAAGATGACAAGGCGGACAAGGTCAGAAACTGGCCAGTGCCAAAGACAGTAAAGGAAGTGCGAGGATTTCTAGGCCTCTGCGGTACAGTGCAGATCTGGATCAAAGACTTTTCAGAGAAAGTAAAGCCACTATGTGAGCTCACTGGACATAAGGCAGAGTTTGTGTGGGATGCACGGATACAGGCAGCATTTGATGAGATGAACGATCTAATCTCATCTGCACCCACACTTTGTCCAATAGACTATTCATCCTCAAAGCCAGTAATATTAGCTGTGGACTCAAGCAAGTATGCAGTAGGCTACATTCTGTCACAGCTTGATGAGAACAACAAATGAAGACCAGCACAATATGGTTCCATTCCAATGAACAAGACAGAAGCCAACTATAGTCAGGCCAAGTTGGAACTGTATGGTCTGTACCGAGCATTAAAGAAGTGTAGACTATATTTGGTTGCTGTGAAGGAACTCCACATAGAGGTTGATGCCAAGTACATTAAAGGCATGCTAGCTCCACCAGACCTCCAGCCGAATGCAGTTATCAACTGGTGGATCACCGAGATACTTACGTATCCGCATAAGTTAATACACGTTCCCGCAACAAAGCATAAAGGACCTGACACCTTGTCACAAAGACCATTGGCCGAAGGAGAGGAGATAATCCCTGATGAGGATAATAAATGGGAGGAAGGTATTGCTATGTACATGGAAAGATCAGATGAGGCCTCTGTGCTTCTCACAGCAACCACCACTCAAGATGATACACTGAGGACCATTCATGAATTCCTGACTACATCAGTACTACCAGAGTTCACATCAACAGCCGCCAGATACAAGTTCAAGAAGAAAGTCCAGCAGTACTTTGTACAAGATGGTCACATGTACAGGCAATATCTGAACAGAATTCTGGTACAGGTACTACTAGAAGAAAGTGCAAGACGGAAAGTTCTTGAGGAAGCACATGAGCAACTAGGGCATAGAGGAGAGAAGGCTACCTTTGAGACCATTAGACAGAGATTCTTCTGGCCATTTTACCACAGTGATGTTTGACACCATATATGATCATGTCATGAGTGCCAAGTCAGAAGTATTAGGAAATCAGAGATACCCATCACAATTTCAACTCCAGCAGGATTGTTTTTCAAGGTCTATATGGATGTAATTCATATGCCACTCACACAAGGATATACCTGCATAGTTGCATGTCGAGATGATCTATCAGGTGTGACCGAAGTGAAGGCTCTCTGATCAGCATCATCACAAGAGATAGCCCGCTTCTTCTGGGAACAGATACTCTGCAGATATGGAGCAGTAGAACATGTTGTGAGAGATAACGGATTAGAAACCAAAGGAGCATTCAAGATATTGGTGGATAGATACAACATACACCATATCCGCATCTCGCCGTATAACTCAAGGCAAACGGAGTTGTAGAACGTGGTCACTTTATCATGAGAGAAGCATTGGTCAAGGCATGTGAAGGTCAGATCAATTAATGGCCATCTCTATTACCACATGTAGTATTTGCAGACCAAATTACAATTGGGCGGTCAACAGGATTCAGCCCATACTATTTACTACATGGTGTACATCCAGTCTTACCAATGGACCTGCAGGAAGCAACCTTTATGGTGCAAGGCTTTAGGCAAAACATGTCACATGCTGACCTCCTAGCTCTGCGAATCCGTCAGCTCGAGTGCAAGCCAGAGGATATAGCACAGGCAGCAGAAGTACTCCAGAGGACCCGGATGAATTCAAAAGAGCATTTTGGAAGAAGATTTGCTCACCGACTTAGAAGGACAGCTTTCGAGAGTGGAGATTTAGTATTAGTTAGGAACACAGCAGTAGAAAAGGAGATGAACCGGAAACACAAGCCGAGATACCTAGGCCCTTACGAAGTGGTTTGACAGACGCAGAATGGCTCATACATAATCAGGGAACTCAATAGAGATGTAGCACGGGAGAGCATTGCAGCATTCCGTCTCCTAGCATATAACCCATCAGAAGCAGACCTTGATGACTTAGCCATAGACCCGTTGGACCGCACTCAGAACCTGTGAATGGGGACAGTCATAATCTGAAAGATAACCATTAGCAGATATTCTCGGCATTCATTCAGATGCAGAAGAAGACCAGGAGGATATTTACAGTCAGATAAGGGACGAGGAAGAGTTGGACAATACACCAGTCAGTCAACGGACACGAAGTCAAGTAAAAAGAGTGTAACAGTGGAAGAAAACAACCGGGGACGGCTGTAAAACTGTGGGGCGGATGTCAGGCACCAAAATGGATTGGCACCTGGACATGGCTTACAACCAGCAATATAATCATATGACAGGTGGCAATTGGAACCTATCACATAACCACAGGCGTCAAACATCAAAAAAGGCGTAAAACGGTGGGTCCATGTTTTGTAATGTGGCACCTTCCATCATGTCTACCATTCTCCAACAGACCCTCACAATCCCCGACGAGATGATCCCATACCTCTCAGACCAGCTCAACTTGGACGACATCATCTGCTGCCCCGTGATTGTACGCAAGGACTCCCACCATCTTCACTTCCACACTCCACGGATTTGTGTGCCGAAAACGCACCCATTTGGTCCAATCCCACCTCCCGATACTCCATGTTGGATTCTTCCGAGCATGTTAGAGCCGGGTTGGACATTGCCTAAGGATGTACATTTTCTTGGTTGAGTCCTTTAAGTAGCCAAGTACCAGGAGAGCCGTGTCATCGTGCTCGTACAACACATCCAGTCACTGGTGATCCTCAGCCTCGCCGTATCATATGGGTACTTTGTCGGTGACACAAGTTCCTGGTGGGCACAAGTGGTTTGGAACGTGGTCAGCGGAGTCAAGATCCTGCGGAAACCAGATAATGAGGACTATCTTCCAGGCAAGCTACACTGTTTGTCATTCGAGTACCGATAACTCATAAGTTGTTAGGTGTCTCCCTCGACCCTATCACAAACGATTGAGAGATCAATGACAAGGTTCAGGCCACATATAGTCCTGTATAGTCATATAAGGATCAGACAGGACTTGTTCGGTAGTTGCATTGATGGACGTGAAACGGCACACTAGATTGACAACTTGTGAATCTAAGCTTGGATCAATTAAGCATTCTGAAGAAACATGTGCAGGCTATAGTTATAGAATGTTCTAGAATGTTCCAGCATATAACCATAAAGGGTAACAGTTGACTAAGCATCGTTTAGAACTGGTGAACAAGTTGGAGAATGTTCAGGAACAGTAAAGAATATTTCAGAACATTACAGAAAGTTCCAGAACATTCTAGACTTTTCTGCAAGAAAATGGTCTCATATAAAGCTCATAGGGACTTGTCTGCTTATCAATCTGCTAGGCATGACTCAACATAAGACCAATAGTCCATAAATAGCATAATACAATGACCTAGAAGGTCTCAGAATATTCTAGCATGTACCAGATTATTCTGCTAGGTTCTGGAGTATCTCAGGCATGTTGGAGAAGGTTCCAGGAGGATATTAGTAAGGATTAGTCATCAATTAGTCAGCTCTTAGTCAGAAACTAGGATAGACATTTGTAAGCTAGATAGAACATTCTGGAAGGTCTTCAGAAAGGTATATATACTAGACTGAAAGTGCCCCCCAAAAAAATTCAATCAGTCAAGAATTCACCAGTTCAAAGCAAGTGTGCTTAAAGCAAGTGTTCAGTAACTGCATAAGCAATTGATAGTAAAGCTATAAAGTCTAGTTTCATATCAGTTGAGAGTTGAATAGCCTTCCCTAAGAGGGGAAGAGACATACTGACTCAGCAGTTTAAGTAAGTATAGTGTTAGTGTTAGTCAGTTGAACCTTAGCAGGATCGGATTCCTGGGGTTTAGCAATTGGTAACACTCAGGTCAGCTGATAGTCAGAGGGCTAGTCAGCATAGGTAATACAGAAAGAGTCTCGGATAGACTCGCGGAACGAGCACAGAACGCATAGAACAGCCGGATATAGGGGAAACTCTGCCAGAACAGTCAGTACACCCGAAAAAGTTGTGAACAGAGTCTGTGGAGACAGTGAATGGTCTACATAGTCAGAGTACGCACACACAGTGCCACAAAGCTAGACAGTATTGCACAGACTTTTGTCAGAATCGTCAAATACAACCACAACCACCCCAAACTCGACAAGGTCAATTTTGGAAAAACAGGAAACCCCATATACCTTGTGGCAGAGCTTCTTAGGTTTATAGAAAGCTGAGATTTACCCCTCACCCATACATATCGAGAATTGTTATATAAACTCTTCTCACACCCAAACTTCGAGAAGTACGACACCGCGTTCAGTGTGCAATAGTCTTGGTCCGAACGTAAACTCCCATCTTTCTCACAGACAAAGAAGACGGGGGCGGCTGTAGGACTCTTGGACGTGCGGATGTAACCTTTGTCTTCTTGCTCCGTGATCCAAACTTCAAGCTGTTACAGCGAAGCGTGTCAGCACTCAAGGGGTCGTGTGCAGGTTATGCACAACGAGGACACAGACTGATGACAAGCTTAGCACACTGGTTCACTGGGGGTCTGGGGGTTCGAGGTCACTAGGGGTCTAGGGAGTGAGAACGCTTGATTGGTACAAGAGGTCAAACTGGGGTGCCCAGTGCAAGACCTGTCCTTATATACTAAAGTACACGGTCGCTAACTGATTGGAGAACAATAGTCACAGGACAATAACGATGGAGAACAATAGCGAATGGGGACAAAGGAGTCACGTGGTGTTGTGACCACGTAGTACAATGGCGAAAAGAACAATAGCGATGAGAACAATGGGGATATGAAGCATAGTGTTGGAACCATGGTAAATACGAGTGTCCGGGTTGTGCCGTAAGAAGAGGGAATGCATGGTAGAGAGGATACGAGGAGAAAGGAAAGAAGAGACGCCCCCACAGGGCGTTTGTAACACAAGCAAGTTCCGTTC